ACACCTAATAGTGATGCACTTGTGGAGGCTTAGAGGTGCCAGGTGTCAGGAGCAAGCTAAACACTGAGTAGCTTTCTTTATGTAAAATGCTGCTTTAGATCCCTTTAACAGTTCTTTTCTTTCACCTTAGTTTGGTGTGGTGATGTCAGGATTACAACACAGGAGTAGAAATGTACAGAAAAATGCACGTCATTTGCAAATTTGGAGGTGTTTGTTATACAGTCAGGTCCATAATTATTTGGACAATGATACAGTTGTCGTCATTTTGGCTCTGTACACCACCACAATGGGTTTTAAATGAAACAATGAATACCTGCTTAAAGTGCAGACTCTCAGCTTTCATTTAAGGCTTTTTTCAAAAATGTAGTATGAACCGTGTAGGAATTACAACCATTTCTTCACACAGTCCCCCGACTTTAAGGGCTCATAAGTATTTGGACAAACTAACATAATCATCAATTAAACAGTCAGTTTTAATACTTGGTTGCAAATCCTTTACAGTCAATGACTGCCTGAAGTGTTGGACACATAGGCATCATCAGATGCTGGGTTTCTTCCCTGGTGATGCTCTGCCAGCCCTTTACTGCAGCCGTCTGCACTTCCTGCTTGTGTTTTGGGTGTTTTGCCCTCAGTTTTGGCTTCAGCAAGAGAAACGCATGCTCAGTTGGATTCAGGTCAGATGATATGACTTGGCCATTGCAGAACATTCCACTTCTTTGCCTTAAAAATGTCTTTGGTTGCTTTTGCAGTATGCTTCAGGTCAATGTCCATCTGCACTGTGAAGCATCGTCCAATGAGTTTTGAAGCATTTGGTTGAATCTGAGCAGATAATGGTGCCCCAAACACTTCAGCTTTCATCCTGCTGCTCTTGTAAGCAAGACAAGACTTCACTAGAATAAATACAGAGGGTTTATCACAAGATGCAAACCATTGGTTAGCCTTAAAAATGGAAGGCCAGATTAGAGTTTGTCAAAAACCATCTAAAAAGCCTGTACAGTTGTGGAACAGCATACTATGGACAGATAAAACAAAGATCAACTACCAGAATGATGGGAAGACAAGAGAAGGAAGAAGGGAAGGAACTGCTCATGATCCAAAGCACACCACCTCATCAGTGAAGCATGGTGGAGGTACTGTTATGTCATGGCCATGTATGGCTGCCAGTGGAACTGGTTCTCTTGTATTTATTGATGATGTGACTGCTGACAAGAGCAGCAGGATGAAAGCTGAAGTGTTTGGGGCACCATTATCTGCTCAGATTCAACCAAATGCTTCAAAACTCATTGGACGATGCTTCACAGTGCAGATGGACATTGACCTGAAGCATACTGCAAAAGCAACCAAAGACATTTTTAAGGCAAAGAAGTGGAATGTTCTGCAATGGCCAAGTCATATCATCTGACCTGAATCCAACTGAGCATGCGTTTCTCTTGCTGAAGCCAAAACTGAGGGCAAAACACCCAAAACACAAGCAGGAAGTGCAGACGGCTGCAGTAAAGGGCTGGCAGAGCATCACCAGGGAAGAAACCCAGAATCTGATGATGCCTATGTGTCCAACACTTCAGGCAGTCATTGACTGTAAAGGATTTGCAACCAAGTATTAAAACTGACTGTTTAATTGATGATTATGTTAGTTTGTCCAAATACTTATGAGCCCTTAAAGTCGGGGGACTGTGTGAAGAAATGGTTGTCATTCCTACACGGTTCATACTACATTTTTGAAAATAGCCTTAAATGAAAGCTGAGAGTCTGCACTTTAAGCATGTATTCATTGTTTTATTTAAAACTCATTGTGGTGGTGTACAGAGCCAAAATGACGACAACTGTATCATTGTCCAAATAATTATGGACCTGACTGTATATAGGATATTATGCAGTGGTTTTACTGGTCCGGCCCACCTGCGATCAAATCGGACTTTATGTGGCCCATGAACTACAATGACTTTGACACCCCTGGTTTAACCAGATGAAGTATTTTAGTCATCAGTTATTGGATAAAACAAGCTGAGCAAAGCAGTGGCGGCTCAGCTTTTGCCCCTGCCATGACAATCAGTGTTGGAGAAACACTGATTTTTAACGTAAAACTGTTTTATTTAGTGCTTTTACCAGTTTAAGTCACCAGGTCAGTTTGTTTTGGAGAGGAAGACACCTCTGCAGATAATTTGGCTCCCGGTAAAAACCTCCTGAACGAAGATCACTGGAGGAATTCTAACCAGGAGTAACTGACTGCAGTGACAGCATTGCTCTGTTTTTTTTTGTTGTTTTGACTGAGAGACACCTCACCGCTGAAAATCACATATTGTATGTTTAAATGTGAATAATTTCTGGTTTTAGTTTTCCGTGGAAGTGAAAGATTCCTGACTCTGTTGCTCTGTTTAATGGACAAAGAAGCAACTTAAAATTGTCATTTTAGACTTAAAGAATCTGCATTTTTCCACTTTTTTCTGACCAAATGATTATCAATTCATTGAGAAAATAAATAGCAGCCTAATTGATAATAAAATAACATAATAGTAGCAGCCTTAAATGTAAAAATGTTATATTTATGACACAGTTTTTGGTCAAAAATTATAAATGTGGGGTTGTTAAGCATGATATTTAATATCCTGCAAGGTGACAATAAACTAAGAGAAAAAATAAGATGGCAAGAAGAACTTGACTTTACACTATCTAATACTGAACGGGAAAATATAAGTCTGTCATCATCACTTATGACAACAGCATCTCGGTTCTAGCAAAAACTACATGGATTGTATTTAGTCACTTTTTATTATTTCTTCTATAATATTTGTGTGTTTGTTTTGTTTTCCTTTATTTGTGCTTTATTTATTCAGTCATTTAGCTTGGTTACATGTCACAATGGTATCTCATATTTTGGAAAAAATAATGTTGACTGACAACATATTTAATTTGTTTTTCCTTCAATATCCACTCTTAAAAAATTATGGTATCCACTTGTGACAACAACAGCACCATTAATGTTCTGATGGTTGTCTTTAGGCGCTCACAGCCCTCAGTTAATGTTGGAGACAAAATGTGGTTTTGGTTAAAGAATAAAGAACTCCACTCTGACTGTCTAAAGCACAAGACAGGTTTATTTTTTCAGTATCTAAGTGAAACCATGCTCTTTTCCTAATCTCAACCATAAGTGCCTAAATCTGCCATTCCCCTGGATGCAGGATGTTTGACTGAACAAACATATTTGTAGGCAGCAGTTAGATTCTTCCCAAAGGAATTACTGCTCTATAAAGGCCAGTTCTTTGAGACAAGGCTGAAACAAAAACACAGAGCAAAGTGTATTTTGTCTTCGCGCTGTAGGTATTTCTCACTGGGACAGTTAAATTACTGTAACTACAGCGCTAACTACTGAAACTACACTTAAGGAGCTTTTTGTGATAAAAGCAGAGTCACTTGATACATGACTGACAGATTCCTCTGGTGAAAATGGCCGGCCGTCTTATTTACATTCAGCGCTGAAGGCTCAGTGTCAGTAGCTGAGGCCATTCTGCTGCATTAGCAGAATAGGAAGAGTGTCTGCCAGTTCTTCAACTTTCATTAAAAGTAAACCTTTTAAGCCAAGCGCTGCTGCCTGCCCAGACCCCCCTGACAATAATGTACTAACTGTTCGCCCGCCAAACTATCAAACTATTTTATATTCCACACCTGCTAGGCATTACACACAGTGGTCCAACCTGGCCCCGCAAACACAACAGAACTCCCTTTGTTGGGGCCTCAGGACCATTAGGCAGGGTGGGTTCGGCTCGAAAGTGTTCGAGAAACAATTTATCAGAAGGAGATAGACACACTACAGGGCTTTGTGCTCCCTGTGACACCATGCTCTAACGGCAGGCATTTCCTGCCCTGAGAAGGCAGGTTTTACAACATTTAGGGAGAGGTATTTTAATAGGAACCTCCTACAGCCTGACAGTGGCCTCGGTGGAGGAACATGGAAAAGCTGTTGAGAGCAGCTCAGGAGGCTCCCTGTGGTGTCACACAGCTAACTAACCAGCGCGGGCCGGCTCAAGGCTCTCTCCCTTAAAGATCATATTTGCCATTTGATTTATAAAACCAGTCAGTAAATGTGAATATTGTCATCCGTCTTTAAGGTCTGTGGCTTTCAGTAAGCCGTTCCTGTGGCTGACACTGATTTGTCATGAAGCTCAAAGAGGGTGGGCTCACGCACTAATGACTCATTTATAACAGCGCCAGGGCCGGCAACTGTTTCGAGTTTGTTTTGTTGCTTATTCTCATTGCATTGTGTTAATGTGTGCATCCATTAGGTTCATTAATGAGTATTCTTTCTTCTAGCATCTGTACAGCGTCTGTTTCATGTGGGGACAGCACAGTAGGAATCCCATTAAGTTTTTTTCTCTTGACAACTTCTGCCGACTGGTTAGACATCAAAGACAGATGTAGCGAATGGCGTTATTCCCAATTCTTTGGCGCAGCAACAGACGGCGAAAGCTTGCACATTTTGCTTTCTGCAAACAAACACACATATGGTATTCTGCATTTGTCCCCATTGTTGTTGTTTTCTTTTTAACATTTTTGGTTGTTTTGGGGTCTGGTGTCATCTAATCTGGCAACCAACACCAACTACATAGAACTCTCAACATTATGATGAACACCAGTCACCCCACAAGAGTAATTAAAATTTAATTTACCCTACAAAAACTGCAAAGCAGATTCTTGCGTTTGATTTGCAGATGTTTTAATACATGTGGATGTAAATGTCTGAGCAGAGGATAAAATCGACCCTGATGTTATTTTGACATTTAACAGTCTTTCAGCGTGGAGTCTCCAGCATCGAGGTTGAACAAATTCTCCTAAAAGAAATCATTTGAACTGATTGATCCTGACATATATACAGAGCAGTCGAAGATGCAACATGGCACCAGCTGCAAATATCACAGCATTACAACAGGGAACGTCACATGCTATGGAGTTAAATAAAGCATATTCCTTCATCTCTAACCTGTTAAACTGCTTCTTGTCTGCAGCTGTGGGAGACAGTACATCAGACTGAGCCATGGGGAGGGCTCTTTAGACAAGGGAGACAGGATACCACGGTCAGGTATGTTCCCAGTCTTCTTTCTATAACTACCAGCACTACATCCAAGCTGCATAGTGTGAGTGTTTGTGGGCATATACACCATATCACAGATCATTATTATGATTATTTTTGTTATTATTTTGGGGCCTTTTCACCTTTATTTGACAGTGTAGAAATTGTGAGTGTGTGTGTTGGGGGTTGATTTTTAGACAATGGGTCCCTGGACACAGCTATGCCAAGGTTGTGAAGGTTTTGCATTTCTTCGCAGCTGTTATGCATCTTTTTGTGAGTTTGTGTCTCTCTGAGGTAATTTTGTGGGGTTTTTTTGTAGTTGTTTTGCTCATTTCTGTAGTTTTTTCCTTTCTTTTGTAGTTCCTTTGCATGTCTTTGTGGTCCTTTTGTGTCTCTTTGCGTTCATTTTAAGTCTCTTACTTGTCAGTCCGTAATAATTTTACATTTTGCAAGTGAAGTCCAGGGGTCCCCCAGACACTTTGGGCCCTTGAGCCTGCACCCAGTAGGCCTGTACAGTAATCCATCCATGATGACATGCAACAAAGGTCCCAAAACTGCAATTGAACCCAGGACGTTGTGGATATGTGGTGTATATCCTGGTGTTTTAAGTAACTTAATATATACAGTATGTACTGTAAGTGGTGGACTCTAGTGTTGTCTGCATTGTGTTGATATGAAGGGGCCCAGACTTTGAATATCTATGGAGGCGATCTCTGTTTATTCCTGACAACTCTGACAGGAAGAGGTAAAAACAAAATTCTCCGTCAATTTCAACCGTACTAACTTGCACCCTTCTCCCATGGACTACAACAGCAAAAAGGGGAGAGATAAGGCAGGATACACCCCTTTATAGGTGGGGTACCCCCAAAGATGAACGTAATATCAAGCATTCCACATATTGACTATGGAGGCCCAAGCATGTCAGGGAAACAAACTTTGTGTAAATACAATTCTTAATATTACAAATGTACATCTGACTCTGTTACACATATCACTGCTGTATAACTGACCCTGTTACATGAAGGCATATTCAAAACACTCAAAATACAAATGTATGTCCCCAAACAAATGACTGTCCCAAGTAATGTGTGCTGGTGTCACAGTGAAAATAAAAACTTTTCCTATATATTTACAGATGTATGTTGAGTCTTATATCTTTTGTTGATGGGTCCCAGTGCACCCTAGTTACTAGTTATGAATCACACACACAGAGTTTTAGGAATATTTCACCAACAGTGTGTCTCACTGCTGCTTTTATATCATACCCACTTGCAGATGTGCACAGTTTGTCAGTCTTGAGAGATTCTGCACCTAAACTAGCTGCTGTAAATCGTATCGCCTCGTTAAATGATTAAACAGACACTTGATATTGGACATCAACATACATATTTCCCAGCAATCATCATTACATATCTGTGTGTGACAAAAACTACAAAAGAAAAATAGGAAATTATTATTTTTAATTAACTTGTTTCTTTTAGTGGAATTATATTTTTTATAGTTTGTGTTGACTGAACATATAATGTTGTTAAAGACTGATACTATTTTACAAAACCAGAAAACCGTGATGGAGATTGGGTTGGCCTTTTACATGGCATATAGAAACTTGCACCATTTTTGATTCAATATGAGTTCTTCTTTGAATATGAACGTATTTCCAGGTAGCAGTCGGGCCCTTCCACTGCACTGCCTATATGTGCACCCCTGTTTCAGGATAGTGATCGTTTTCATCTTATGCTTAAACTTTGTTCCTGTAACTTATTATCACAGGGCAAAAAAAATCTTATCTAGCTATCTGAACACATTCGCCAGAAACTCCACAAGTCTGGTATTTCTTTACCAGTTATTTTCATTATTTCTATATTTATCACTGTTAGTTTTTGTCATGTACTCCATGTTTAGGTGGGTGCAGGCACATGCTGCTTGTTGTATATTAAAGATATAATGATCTAAGTACATGTTTATTGTATTTTGTTCTTGTCAACATTTCAAAATATATAAGTTTAATAAAAAGAACCTACTATATGAAGCACTGCTGCCGCCACACACACTATAAGACAAGTTGAGTAAGGGCCATGGCTGCAATCACTGAGACGCACCAGTGTTGATAAGGAAGAGCACTCACCATCTCTGGGACTTTCACTGTGAGAATTACAGAAAATAATCACTCATAACATAACGCAGGATTAGGGGAAGTGGATCTCCCAGAGAAGTAAACTCAACACCCCTAAAAATATGCATCAGTTTAAGGTGATTAACAGAGGATTTTTCCCTTATTTTTCCCCTCAGGCTGCAGTGTGACACTTTTTTGTTTTTACTCTTACCAGCAGAGGACCAAGTGGTTGTGTCATCAGACTACGACAGCACCCACGAAGCCAACCACAGTGACAGCAGTGATGTAGCACATACAGAGGAGGACACAGAAGAGGGAAAAAACTCCACCCAGAATGTCATCCTCCACCAACTAATACCTCCAGAGGTGAGAGGATGCAGAATGACTGCTCAGAACATGACAAGCCTACAATCACACCGTCATGTATTACAAGTAAATTATTTATTATTTACACTGTATCTGTTTGTCTGATCACTTATCATCATGTGTCACCTGAACAGGACAAACCAATTCTGGCTCCAGAGCCGTTACTAATGGAGGACTTAGAGCCTCTGATGAGTCAGTTAAACAATTGGAACTTCCCCATCTTCAGTTTGATGGAGAGGACCAACGGGAAATGTGGACGGATCCTCAGTCAGGTGAGCGGAGAGTGATTGAGCTCAGAGGGCAGCCAGGCAGAGTGTCAATAAAACTATTGACTATATAGGTGGTTTTCAAAGGCACATTAAAGGGCAAGCCAAAACCTCAAGGCACACCTGTATTCATATCTGTGCCCAATAGCTTCTATAACGTGTGTTAGCACTCATACCATGACTATCTACTGACAGTTTTTTGTCTACTGACAGTTTGTTTTACCTCTTTTCTTTCAGTGGTAGGTCGTCTTTAATTTTCTCCGTACAATAAAGCGATCCATTGTCCCACTCACGACTTTCTCCTTTTAAGTGTTATCACCCCTCACACTGGCTGCCAATCAGGGCTTTTGATGTTACACACAATAATATTCCAATGCCCCAATAGTGACAAAAAAGTTCCCCCGTGAAGGTTTTTTAAATTAAATTAAATAAATTACATTTTTAGCTAGAGTTTGCCTCTTTATTAGGAAATGGGTGTGCACAACATACTGATACAGTCAATCAAAAATAGATTCATATCTTTTTGTGTAGGCCCAGTTGAATATTGCAATAATAATGAGTAGTTATCATCACACACCATTTAAAACCCACTGAACTATATGCATAATAATAAGATTTGGACAAAAGTTAAGCAATAAAATACAGTAATAAAAGCTGCTGAGATACTCAGTAACATGATGTGTCTTTGCATTCAGAAATGAATACACTAACATGCAATTGCATCATTTTACCTGCAGCATCTCAATATTTGCTTCTATTGATTACCATTTTCAGTTGTTTTTTTTGTAACCCTCTTACATGTATTGTGTTTATTAGGGCTGAGTGATATAGATTAAATATCAGAATATTTCTGCCAAAATACCTCAATATTAAGACAATCCTGTAGGGCTGTAGAGTAAAATATTAAGTGACTAATAATTCAAGGGCTGTTTTAAATGCCTTCAAATTGAATTATTGCAGCTTGTGTAAAATAAATAAATAAATGAAGAGCATGTCGAAAAAATTCTAACACTACATTTTTACATACATTCTTAATTATTCCGTTATTTGATGAAAGCACACATCAGCCACGACCAGTTCCAGCATCTCTGACAGTCAAACTCACAATACATTTCTCATCAGCACTCATGAAAGTGTAGGCCTGGGGGATATCACTATCATAATATTTTTGACCAAATACCTCTTTATCACTATTGCGACAATACTGTACGGTTAAAAGTTGGTGCTTCCTCAAAATACTTACACAGATTTTTTAGTAATAATCATCAGTCATGTGGATATAATGACTAAGCAGGTGAAGGCAAATAATAGAACAGCTAGAACAGTCTGGTGTGCTCAGGAAATTACATCACTTCACTGTAATGCAGCCTTTAAATAAAGAAAAAGACCACATTTATAATATTAGGATGTCCAAAATTTAAGACAATATCTAGTCTCTTATCTGCCGAGTCCTGTTGTTGATTATCGGAGCCTGGCGATCTTCACAGACTTTGATTTTTGTGTTTCAGGTGTCCTACAGGCTCTTTGAAGACACTGGCCTCTTTGAGACCTTCAAGATCCCTGTAAAAGAATTCATGAACTACTTCCATGCCCTTGAGAATGGTTACAGAGACATACCATGTAAGCTTGAACATCCTCCTTTGTTTTATATGTGCTTCACTTTACATTTGCAGCTGTAGTAATGACACCAGCCACTAGAGGGACATGTTGTACCGTCCTATGTGACTGTGTGCAGCCTTTATGGTCCTACAAGAAACATAAGCAGCCTAACACTGCACCCTGGTGGAGAAGCATACACACACTTTTCTGTCTCCTGACCCAGATCACAACAGGGTCCATGCCACAGATGTGCTTCATGCAGTCTGGTACCTCACCACGCAGGCTGTGCCTGGTCTGCCCAGCCTCATTACTGACCACGGCTCCGCCAGTGACTCAGGTTGGTCCATCAGTGCACATTCTTGCATGTCCAGGTGGGGGTGCTGGTGTGTGTGTGAATCTAAAAGTCCCAAAAAGTGTCTTGGAAGTTGTCACATAAGAACACGTGAGCTCCCTGTGCCCTTTTTGTTGAGTTCTTCTAACTTTTGTTAAGCCATTTATCACCATAAAGACTGTCTATATGTAGGCCAGACTTTTTTTTTAGTTAGATTTTCCCATCTGCCTGCAGCTTTACTGTGAGCTATCTCATTAATGTCGGCGCATCAAACCTGCAGGAGTGTGTGTTCTTATCCTACTCACAGTTTGTCTTATCTCACTCAGGCTTTTGGCACTTGCATTTACGTACCAAACACTATTTGAAGTCTAGAACAGCATGAAATTGTAGGCAGATTAGAGTTCCCTCTCACCCATATTTCCATAACCTCATTTGTATGCCTTACTAGGGCCATCCCTTTGATCCACATATAAGTGGATTTGAACGTTTAAGTGTGTGTGTGTCTGCATGTGTGTGCGTGTCTTACAGTGCGTGTGTGTTGAGGCATGTGCACGTGAAATTACATTGTGTGTGTTTGTGTAAATCCTGCCACCCTGTTCTTCACCCCACTCACTTTGTCTGTTCCCCCACGGCTAGACTCCGACAGTGGAATAACACACAGTCATATGGGCTTCCTGGTTTCAAAGACCTACACTGTGTCAGAAGATGGTTACGGCTGCCTGTCAGGCCTCATACCTGCTCTGGAGCTTATGGCCCTTTATGTGGCTGCCGCAATGCATGACTACGACCACCCTGGGCGGACCAATGCTTTCCTCGTGGCCACCAGCGCCCCACAGGTACTCGTGCTAATCAGCCTGTAGTACACTCTTTACTTTAAAAAACTGAGGTAACAATTTGAATGCATCTTTTTTAAGTAGTTCCAACTCTGGTCTTATTGAGTAAATCCTGTGAGTCTGTTATAATCTGACAAACAAATTAGTTCAGTACAACCAACATGATTTTCTTTGACCTCGAAAAACTTATATTTATCCAGAAGTTGTGTATTTTATTTAAGATATTTTCTTATTTGTTTTAATTCCTTTCTACTTAAAAATGTTAAAAATGTATTTGATTTCTTAAGATTTTTTCAACTAACTAAAAAAATGTGAATGGCAAACTTCTTCATTTTACGCATTATCTCCTAACCCCATGGATAATTTTTTACAGTGTAGAGAACAGCACCTGAGTGGGAAAGTCACTTGAAGTTAATTTAGCTGATTAACAGTTACACACTCAGACATTCTTTGTAATCAACGAGACGATCATTTGATTGGCAGTTTTCTTTCATTTTATCATTTTCACTGCCTAACTGCTCTCGCAGGGCTGAAGTGAATCATCAGTCTTTGACAGCATAATCAGACAGTCACTGTTTACAGTAGCTCCTTGATGCTCATCTGAAACTGACAGGTGTTGAGGCTGGATTTCTAAAGATCTGTTGAGATGTATTACCAAAGTCGTGACATCAAGAGATCGCCGCCATCTTTGTTTGGGGAGGGGGGGGGTATTCTCTGGTTTGTACGCTGCAAAATCTTGACTTGAGCTCCTTTCTGGTTGCTAACATGGCAATTCATTATTTTGAAGCCCTCTCTGGTGATTCTGTGGCAAGATATGTGAGAAAACTTGCCCTGATTGGCCCTGAATCGTGCCTATACAAGACTCCTGCAGACCACTGGGACAACAACGCAAAGAAATAGCTGTATTTTGAATATGCAAACATATACAACAACTTGATCAAACATCTACTTAAGTAGATAATATCCTGGTTTTAATTGCTAGTTAACCAGTTCATAGTTGATTTGACCAGGGGGGACAGGGTCTGTTTTGAAGAAGAGGATATACTTTATTAATCCCTGAGTGGAAATACAATTTTTCCACTCTGTCGTCACACACACACAGGCCTGAAATACACACACATGCACAAACAGGACCTATACATGCAATAAATGGAAAGATGTCAGAGTGAGGGGGCTGCCCATGAACAGGCATCCCAAGCAGTTGGGGGTTCAGTGCCTTGCTAGTAGGCACCTTGGCAGTGCCCAGGAGGCGAACTGGCACCTCTCCAGCTACCAGCCCACACTCCATATTTGGTCTGGACAGGGTCTTTGACCAGCGACCCTCTGGTTCCCAACCCAAGTCCCCATAGACTGAGATACTGCTGCCCATCATTGTTCATGTGAGCCCTCATGATAGCCACAGCCATTTTTTCCTTTGCGATTCCTCACCCGGTATGATGTAAAACTGGACACCTGGAGTTTTGATCTTGTTGGTTGTACAACCAGTCACACGGCAGCTCTTCGGCATGTAGGTGTGTTGATGTTGTGAAGAAAACAATCTTAATGTGCCACTTTTCCGAGCAGCTCTCTGCATTGCTGCAAACTGTAACAGAAGTGATATGTCCCCCCGACAACAGACTGAAAATTGACTTTGAAAATGCAATTGTTTCTGTCCAGACATATCTTATCTTATCAGAGACATATCTACATTTTGGCAAAAAGGCTGTCATAATACTGAAATATGCTTATTTATCAGAGAGAAGTAAAAGAGTACAGTGGCTCTAATTTTCTTAAAAATACTCTAGGAGATCTGAAGAACATTTGAATCATCTACATCATCCTGTCTCTCTTTTTTAGCCCTGAAAGATTCAGAAGTGAAGTTAATTCATATATTTGAGTTATTGCGATCAACACTCTGTTAATATTTACAGTATAACTACTTCCATTAATGATGTTAAAACAGTTACAGTAATCATCTGAATCTATCTCTGTTATTTTCCTACATTTACCTCAATCAAAGTCTTCCCAGCTTCTGATTGGGTAAGTCAGCGACATGTGAGTCAGAAACAAGGAAGTGGTTGTGAAGCTGATGAAGTGTGAAGAAAGCTGAGAAAGTTATCCATCACCGTTGTGCCGTTTCTTCTCAATATGAGTGATCCAGCCCCCACATATTGAACCCTCACGTTACAGTGTATGTGCAGGATTGCTGGATTCATAAACAGGCATTTATTTAAAGTGTTTGTGTGTTTGCAGGCCGTGCTCTACAATGATCGATCTGTATTGGAAAACCACCACGCTGCCTCGGCCTGGAACCTCTTCATGTCGCGGCCAGAGTTCAACTTCCTCGTCAACCTGGACCACGGGGAGTTCAAGCGTTTCCGTTTCCTGGTCATTGAGGCCATATTGGCCACTGATCTGAAGAAGCACTTTGACTTCCTGGCTGAGTTCAATGCCAAGGTAGTTCTGAGAACATGATTGTTTGCCATTAAAGGGAAACTTTAAGGGTACTTTGTCAACCTGAATGTCATTTTCTCATGTTTTTGTTTCTCAGTTACTAATGAGAAGAACAGTTTTTTGAAACTAGTCCAGTACTAAGCAAGAACACGGCAGGTGGGAGCCACCAAACTGGCTGCAACGTAATCTCCGGGGCAATGTGGTGACGTTAGTGTACGTCCACTAAAAGTGCTTGTTTTTACTACTGACAAGTGTCTGACAAGGATATGAAATATTCTTCTTTACCTTTGCACTGTTTGTTATTGTGTTTAACCAAGTCTCTCTCAAGGAAAGGTCTCATTCTGAAGTCTCGCAAGTTGAGTTGTTGCAGGAAATCAATAAAAAAAACAACCAGACCAAAGAAAAAGATTTTATTTCTCTGTAGGTTAGTTTCCACAATGTTGCCAGACACTGACAATAACAACCTGAGCCTGTCAGTGGCAAAAATGAGCACTTTAAGTGGAATAATATTGATGGTACGTATTGCCCCAAAGGTTACATTGGTGCCCATTTCCTCGACTTGCTCAAAATTTCAAAAACTGTTGTTGCCATTAGTCTCTTTGGGTGATCAAATGCCTGCGTGAGAAAGCTGCTCTTGATTGGTCAGAATTTCCATGCGGGAAAAATCCAGCAAGTAAACAAAATGTTGAAGAAGAGTACACTTGCAAGTAAAATGTGACACTTTCTAATGTCACAATGGAGGGACAACTACGCAGGTTGATTTTAGCGCTGGTCATCGTGGACTATATTGCTGTCATTGTTCATTTTAGTCAAACCATACAGTTTGAAAACGAGGCGCGGCTCCAACTAGAAAACAATGTTTTGATGCATTGGATGTGCTGAATGTGCATATTAAGGCAGTACTGGAGGAGGTGCACATTAATAATCCTCCAGGACTGTAACATGCTCATGTTTAACCCAAACAATGTGTCATGTGACTGTGGTTGGTTCAGATCCAGGTCGGAACATGTTCTCACCACAAATGAACCGCACCAGAGTTTGTTTGTAACCAGACCGAGACCACCTCTTCAAGAAGGTCTCGATCTGGTTGTTTTGGTGCACACCTGAGTGTGATTGCTGTGTTCACACCTTTAAAACTACTCGAATTGTTTATTGACCTTTGATTTAAATTATTTTGGGCCTTTGGGATTCAGGTTAATGCCAACACTAGGTTATAAATACCCATCCTCAGATATGTATAAAGTGAAAAGTTTATGTTTGAATAGTTATTTTATTTTGTTGTCTTTGGAAACTAGACTGAACAATGATAATGCAGTATTCTTCAGTTTCTTGAGTCACATGTATTCGGTGGAAGTGTTTGCCTCTTAGGTTCATACCTCAGCTCTTTTAATATTAAGAAAAACTTTATTGAAAGGGAAATGCCCAGTGGTTTCCGAAGAATAGGTCTGTTTGTGCAGAACATTGCAGCACCTGCAAGATGTTCAGCTCACGTCAACAACACAAAGCACCCTGCGGCTTTTCAAGAACTCATTTAAGTGCAGACAGAATGTTGGCTTCAGAATTGAGGGTCTTGGGTTTTTCCATTGTGAGTATTAGTACAGTGGTGGTGCTCGATGGCCAGGGCCTGTCAGCTAGCATTGAGCGCACTGGTTTGGCAGCAGAAGTAGCAGCACTGTCTCTCACTGTAGTGCACCCCGCTCTGCTCTTCCTGGAAGCAAATTAGCTTTCTGTGAAGTACCCATCAAGTTTCTCACTTGATCTCTTCAGCTTCCTGAGTTATTAGGTTAGAATGACAAGGCTCTGGGAAGTCAGTGTTGCTCCTTCTCAAGCTCTGAAGCTCATTAAGGACAACTAGAAATAACAAATTCATTCAGTGTTTAGATTAATGCAAGCTTTAACTCTGTGTGTTTAAGTGCTGTCACTTCTGTAGAAATAAGCTGATGTCAGAAATGCCACTGATTTAATTCAGAGCGCTGCATAATTATTCACATCTCACACAAGTGGTCACAACGTATTTAAAGCACAGTAATTAAAACCTCTACATTTTTAAATATAGCGCTTTGTATCTCAGGAAAAAGTCTTCTTATGTGCCTCATAATGGAGCTGGAGGCTACAGTTTATAGCCCTCATTGCTTTGTCTCATCCACATTGCTATTCAGTGTCGCTATATGTCTGCTCCCTGATTAATTATCCCCCCATACATTAATATGAATACACCATCTTTGAACAGATCAATGGCATCACATTTACATAATATGTACATATCACATGCTGTGTCTGTTGAAATATGTGTATACATATATATATATATGTTAAATGTCAACCGGTCATGTTTTTTCATCCCCCAGGTGGGCGATGATCCATCCACAGGAATCGATTGGTCCAACGAGAATGACAGATTGCTGGTGTGCCAGATGTGCATTAAACTGGCGGACATCAATGGGCCTCTGAAGTGTAAAGACCTGCATCTGCAGTGGACAGAGGGTATTGTCAACGAGTTCTATGAGCAGGTGTGTGAACCGTCTCTGATGGGAACTTGGACCTCGTTTGTAGTCGCCAAACTAAAGATCAATGTACTGTCATGTTTGCCTGCGGGGATGTAACACGACAACACAAACACCTGTGCAGTAGAACACACTGTCCAATGCTGCACTGCGATACTAAATGATATGTTGAGGTGTCAGTGTTATGGTGATACCAGAGGACATCATTTTATCATTTTAATTTTAGTTTATATATTTACGTAACATATATGTTACTGTCTTCCAGTGACAGCCACCCTCCTCATCATTGGAGCTATGGCAAGAAGAAATTAACATTTTTATACATGTTGAAAACAATGATATTCAAACAAGAGAATACAAAACAGAGGCCTACATCTCAACCCATTTTATTCTAAAACCTTCTAGGTTCAGTTAACAAGGACGAATTTCAACAGCTTTAAATTTAACACAATATGAAGGCCTGACAGCTACAGGATATCACATGAGCTAAAATTAAACATGTGGTTGTCAGAGAGAAAACACAGACAGTACCAGAAATAATGTGATGCTTGAAAAGAGTGGGTGGATGTTCATGGTTGTATTGCTGTAGATGTGAGGATCCTTATAGACATGATGCATTCACTATTGCTATTCACTAAACCTTGAAGGATAAAGGAATACTTGACAAACAAAATGAACATTTCATTTCATCATGCCATGTTACCTTGAATATATGAAGAAAACGTTTTCTCACACACAGAAAACAGCAAACATACTGATTTATGAACTGATTGGGGACCATGTTTATATAAGGAAAATAATGTGAGATAATGTGATGTGTCACACACTTATAATTCCTGTGACGGTTTTATGGATTATATAAAATGAAATTAGATTACATTATTAAGTTAGAGTTTGCCTCTTCATTAGGAAATTGGTGCACACAACACACTGATACAGTCAATAAAAAAATTAATTCCTAACTTTTTGTATAGGCCCAGTTGAATATTGCAGTAATCATGTTTGGTTATCACACACCTGGATTTGTATCAACGGCACACACCATTTGGTTTTCATGTAACACACCCAGGTGAACATGTGCTGTAGTTGAGTTAGAATGAAGCAGGATGTTTGCTGTCTTGTCGTATGTTGGTGTAAGCTAAAGAAGATAAAACAAGACAAATTGTAGCCCGCATATTACCCGCAAGCCAATAGGAATGGAGAACGGTACCAAACAAGGAAGTAGGGTTACAACAGCAAAACTTTATCAAAACATCCGTTTACAAACTCACACAATTCATGCAGAATAATCCAAGTCTTATTTATCCATTTATATGCTCAGTACTTAGCGCCAAAGACCTCCATTGTTGTCCAAAACAGTCAATGAGCCACACTGTGCGACATTATCATTCAGACAAATGAAGAGTTTGTTTCAAGTCGATCTCACACGGTCCTTCACATCCTTGAGCTAGTTAGAAAGTACTTACTATGCGAAATGTCCTCATTTTTCAGACCTAAAAGTCAATCTGGCAACACACACACACACACACACACACACACACACACACACACACACACACACACAGAGCAGGTGGCAAATATATTTCAGCCACTTGAATTTCTCATGTTTTCTCTCAAAATAAAATAGAGTAGAGGAGCAGAGCAGAATGGCTCTCGGTATCCTGCTGAGTGTTTCAGACAACTTAATTCTATTCTGTCTCAAAACCCCAAAAAAAGCAAGTACAGAAACTGAAATACAGTCGTCTCCTCTTTATTTTTTCCTGCACGTAGACTTTGGACTTGAAGCTTGATTGATTTTGCCCCCATTAATTCATTTTTCATTCGGGCTCTCTGACATATTGAGATAGCAGTGTCAGTGCTCCCTCTGAGAGCTGTTATTGTGTGAGGAGCTGTCATAATTCCATGACAAGGTTTATGCATTAGTCCTATAATGTATTCTACTATTACGCTATAAATTTACACGCTATTTACAAAAGCCAGGGGAAACAGTAGAAATAATAAAGGTATATTGTAGTTGTTGCTGTATGAGTGGGATAATGATCCACATGTGTGGTTTATATGTTTGGTTTTGTTGTCATTGTAATGAACTAATGTGTAATCGTGGCCTCATTTTTAATACTCACTCATTAGCCACTTTATGAGGTACACCTGTACAGTCTATTACAATCCAGTACTGCAGCTCTGCCATAAATTCCCCCATTACAAAGTTTATAATGTTCAGTTTTTGTTGACATAGTCTGAAATGTATTCCAAATTCAATATTAAAGCTGCAAGAAGTGATGAGCGGGCCCTCGCACCTTTGCGCAACTCTGGGGTGCTGGTAGGACGCCGGCATCACTTTTGTGAAAGTCAGACAGTTGCTGTGAATCAATTGAGGACCACACCATGTCAATTTCAGGAACATCAAAAGATAATTGTCTGACAAGTCTTACCTCCTGGTGCCAGTAGGTGGCGCAATCACAGTGACACCTAATGTACATGCAGTTGGCTTCGGGCCTGGATCCATATAAAACGTGAAGTTTGGGGCAGATTGGACCATGCATGCTAGAGTTGAAAACCACTTCCTGTTTGGTGGCGAAACATGAAAATTTGACACCTTTCCATGGTCGACCAAAACTTTTAGAAACTTCTGATGTCCAAGGTCTTTAGATGGTACAGACAAAATTTTAAGTCAGTCGGATCAAATCTGTAGGAGTAGTTTGTTAAAGTACGGCCCCTGGAAATGGCTAAAAAATGCACAAAAGTAGCACAGTAAATGGAAAATGGCTGACTTCCTGTTGGGTGTAAGGCATTTTTTGTACGTCTTGGGATATTACATAAGCCTATCAAGTATGAGTATGTTAAGCCTCTCAAAAGTGCCCTCAGAGACTACAAATAAAGATCATTATTAAAGTAACTCAATTGTAGTACACCTACATTGTATTGAGAGGTGTTTCTAATTTTCTGTCCTCCATATTTATATACACGAGCAGGTAGAATATTCACACATCTGAACATAATTCAGTCCATTTCAATATCACCCCAAACTTTGACTAAAGTGCATAAACATGTAATTGCATTAACATCTCTGAATAAAAAGCATTAAAGGCATCATGAAAGTAGACTTTATGACAGACCAGTTGTATTGGATTGTATTAGATTGCACAGGTGGACCTTATAAAGTGGCCACAGTCCACAGCTCTGCTATAACAAACAGAATCTAGTAATGCCTTCCATCTAATGCCACCCTCAGTGACCTTTGTTACAATACTTCCCCTTGTCACCGCGTGGCTGCTAATCTCTGCTAATTGCCTCATGGTCAAGCTCAGGCCCTTATGCACCCTGCTACTTCATCTAGGTGACACAGCCGGCTTATTACAAGCCACTCTGAGGTCTGTGTGGCGGACACACAGAGCGCTGGAGCCTCGCAGGAGAAAGGCTCTTCAGTTACAGCAGTTTTAGCGCTGCGTGATGTTATGACGCAAGCAGGGTGCCCAGGCAACTGTCATTCAGGTGGAGCAGCGTCCGCTCGTTACGCTGACAGCCTTGAGAGTCCAACAACCTTGAAAAAAGCAGCAATACAGAACATGTTCAGGCACGTATACAAATCATACAAACCATCATACACAGTGAGTTCGTCATGTAACACAAGAGAACGTGTCGACAGAGCCTCAAGGATAAGATTTGTCCGCCATGCTGAGAGGCTTTCCTAAACTGATTATCATGTGTGAACTGTGAACCAGGATCTGAGTGTCTGTATCACAATACTGAAAGAATCTCTGGGCTTACACTTAATACATAATGTTAATCCTACACCCTCTTTATTTATTTGGATAGCTCAATTAGAATATACCTGACCATTTATTCATATCAGTAGATAGTATATCTCAGACATAATCAGACATTCATTGGGAAAGCTAACATAGGATGTCGTCTTGGTGACATCTTGATCTCAGAGCTCCTTCTTCTCTTTGTTTATGTCCAACAAGATGCAGATCCTCCTCAGATCTTTTAAAGACTCTCGTTGTGCTTTACATTAGCAGTTTGCTGCTCGGCAGGGACAAAGACATGCTACTGTTAAGTGTATGGGATGACACTTGGGGTCAGTTACCCAGGCAACCTGAAAACCTTGCTGTTGCTCTTATTCATTGCCATCCATACAGACGTCATAGATGACACACATGCTGCTGCCCCTCAGCCTTCACATTATATTCTATATTCTTATACTTGGAAAATTGACCGATCATTTAGCTCTTTTAAAGCCATGTGCTGAAGTCACAGTCCTACAGGCCAGAAATAAAACCACAGTTAAATGATGAAAAAGTCCATGGAATCAAGTAACCGCTTATCCCTGTTGGGGGTCACAATGGGGCTGGAGCCTATCCCAGCTGACGTTGGGCGAGAGGCAGGTTACACCCTGGACAGGTCGCCAGACTATCACACATAGAGACCGACAATCATTCATGTTCACATTCACACCTACAGCCAATTTAGAGTCACCAATTAACCTGCATGTCTTTGGACTGTGGGAGGAAGCTGGAGTAGCCGGAGAAAACCCATGCTGCCACAGGGAGAACATGCAAACTCTGTACAGAAGGACTCCTCCACCCTGGAGTTCAAACCCCCCACCCCGGTTCGAACCAGGAACCCTCTTACTGTAAACTATGTAAATTACGTTCATGGATGCTTTTGACTAATTTCATGTCTCAGGGTTCCCACATATTTTTACCATGATTTTTCAAAACATGTCCACACTGTTTTACCCCATTTCCATGACAAATAGTTTAAAATTAATAGGCCGATATATTGATACAGCTAAACATTATTAAACATGCACTTGCCGGCATTTGCAGATCAGTAAACTGTTAGCACTTGCTAACTTTACTAGCTACATGTGCCAGTAAACCAGACCGGCACATACGGGTACTTTGCAAAACATCAAGGGTGAAAGACCTTAAAAATTTAAACATCCTGTAAATATAAATGCAATCTGACATGTGTTTGCATTATAATTTTGACGTGTTTGTATGTATTCTCGGTAAACAAACGTTTGTCTTACAGCAGTGGTTCCCAACTGGTCCAGCCACAGGGTCCAGATTTCAAGGTCCACACAGTTGAATACATTCGGCATCATACTTGGGTTTGGCCATGTAGTTGAGCTAGTTTGCTGTCTCTGTCAAGTAGCTGTCTGTTTGTGAGTCACTTGTGGTCCTGAGCGTTCATGATCCCTTAATAAATTAAACTTGATTGCCGTCATGTCCCTTCAGGCTTTCCACATCTAAACAGATCAATGACCCAACACACTGGCTGGATATTACTTATGTTCAGATCATGATACCTGGTGACTCAATCCAATTTGTGTATTTGATTGAATCCCCAGGTATCGTTAGGCTTAGTGTTGTCTGTAAACAACAAACCTGTAAATAGCCACCTGTTGGATCTGTAGGCTGAGATTTAGTTGGAGACGACAGTTTGATGCAGCTTTACTGCATGATTGTGCTGCAGCAGCCTCCCACTCAAACTAACATGAGCTATCTATCAGTAGTAACTGTCACCAGCAACCATTCACCACACTGACATTCAATATTCACATATTTTATGTGCCTCAAATGTCAGAGTGAAAGTCTTGGTTAACCCACAGCCTGTTTCTCTCCTTATGTGACAGCACAATTTTTTCCCCCAGAAGGGGACAAAGCCTTGGCAATGACGCAGTATCACTTTGGTCTGTGTGAATCATGTGATATTAGTGACGTATCAATGACCACGAAGAGCAGCGCTTGATTTTAAAATAGTTTTACAAGGAAGGTATTTTGTTTAATATGTTTTGGGATTGAAATGTATTTGCACATCCAACTGTCTCAGATGAAGGTGCATTGGAAAATATCACTTGAGGGTTTGAACTGAAAATCCTGCACGCTGCTCTTGCTCAGCATGGTGTAAGGAGCTTGACTTTTCTAGGTTTTTCCCATGTTTTTCCTGGATCCTTGTTCTTTTGTTTGAAGGATATGTGACATATGGTGCACAGGCTGTTGTCAGTTATTAAGAAACACACCCACAGCTGAGTAATTCCCTCACACCTGTGCACACCTGTGAAATGGGTGGAGCAGTTTCTATTTGAGCTCAGTGTTGGAAATAATGATGTGAAACACTCTTGACGCAGGTCCAGGAGGACTGAAACATTAGTGGTACGAATAAATTGTGAAGCTGTGCAAGAGTCCTGATGTCTGCGCCCGGTTTTAGGCTTCCCTCCTTTACTCCATCTGTCACACTATACTGTATGTTTTGAGTTCTGGCTCTGCCTCAAATAATTTTTCTCTCTCTAATGCAGTGGGCACCAGACTTCACATTCTTACACTATTAAGACTCATATTATTCTGATGTAAATAGTTAAAGAACTGTTAGACCTAACCCTGGAATTTAACCCACGTATTCACTGGTGAAATGTGAATCGCGCCATGTCATGACATTCATGCACTAATGTGGGTCATGCTTTATGTAGGGCGATGAGGAGTCCACCTTGGGCCTTCCCATCAGCCCCTTCATGGACCGAGCGGCACCGCAGTTGGCCAAACTCCAGGAATCATTCATCACGCACATCGTGGGACCGCTGTGCAATTCCTACGACTCAGCCAGCCTCATGCCTGGACGATGGGTGGAGCCCAACCCTGAGGCAGAGGAGCCAGAGATCACGGAGACTGAGGAGGAAGAAGAGGAAGAGGAGGATACTGCAGAGGAAGACACGTCCACCAGCTCTGAAGCATCACGTAAGTACTTTGATCTAAAACAAAACCATAAACCTGAAAAGCACAAACTGGTAGTGATGAGAAACATGTAGCCTAGAATATCTGCCTTTGTAAGAAATAGTTTTTAATGACATTTATTCTCTTTTTATGGATTTAATTATGCAAAATATCCTCCTGAGACCCTGTGTCCCCATATGAGGACATTACAGTTTGGGTTTACTGGACCTTATCCTTCATTCTGCTTAACTGGGGTCTGTTGTCCTTGTTTGGGGATGTTTTTTGTGACTAGTGGCAGTAAGACCACAATACAATAATCTATGTAAAATCAAGATGGCAGCCATCTCTGCCAAGTTAGTCAACTGACAAGCTGAAAGTTTTTGCTTTGTTTTTTTTTGGTGCTGTGCACGTGATTTTTGTAGATTCCTCTTGCATGGATGCTGCTTACGGTCCTGTTGCTGCCTTTTCATAAAGCCCCGACCTTACCTGTTCCTGGCTGGTGAACATGCCCATGAACGTTCTAAACTAATGCCTAAGACCAAAAAAAGAAAATAGAGGCAGAGGAGTCTTAAAATGTTGTCTTGTTGTGTTACTGGGAGCCAGAATAGAAGGAGTCATGGCTCAAAACTTAAATTTTAACGCATACCAGCCACCGTTGCCCGTCAACAAAAACGACGACAGCTATGGTTAAATGCAATAAGATGAAAGGACTGGACAGAGGCGATCGTCAGGTTAAGGAAAAAGTATTTCCTGTTGTATGGATGAATAACGTCATGTGTAGTAAGGGATATCATTTCCAACTAGTTGGGGAAATTGGAAATTGGGGAGTTATTACGAAGAATATTGGATTTCTCTGTAACAAGAACTTTTTAGCGCGAAAGCTAACGTTAGCTTCAATAGCAAAACAAACCGGAGAAAACCGCTCAAGTGCCATCCTCCTTTGTAAGTACTCAACCGCAAAGCTTCCTGTGACATCATCCATCTACTCAGGGAGAGCATTCGGGTCGGCCAGTCTGGTCCCATTGATCTGTGAGAGCTTATTCAAGTAACACTCGCGGTCCTGGAGAGTGAGTGACCTGACATGGTGCGTTCATAAATTCAGTCTGGCTCTCTACACTAAAATGAGAGCCCTGTTGGTCGAAGAAACGGAGCGTCATATGTCTATATAAATTAATGAACGGTTAAGTTAATCACACATTAACTCTTCTTGGCGCTCTGCTGCTTCGTCTCCGCCCACAGTGCGCTCTGCCACCCTGAGAGTGCGGAGCTCTGAATAACAGAACAGTACATTCTGACAGTGTTCCAAATTTACGAACAGTCCAGTTTGTGCCAGAGTGTGCTCCGGCACTCAGAATGGGTATTTCTGAATGTGGTTTCTCCACTGTCTAAAACAAGCCGACGGAACTTGCTAGCTAGCACTAGGTAATGTCATGGGAGAATTGTTCTGCCTCCAGCTAAGCCCCGCCCACCAAAAAAACAACAAAATTATTGGGAAAATCCTGCATAACGATGGGAAATAAATAAGTTTAGCAGATCTTTGTGACTTAAAAAGATATTGCAGTTCAGCATCAGATTACAAAGCCTCTGGTCAGAATACTGTATGCTATTAATGCTAATGAGAGCTCATTGGAAAGCCAAAGGGAAGTGCTGTTTTTAGAAAGCCTCTAAACCAGTCTGGGAGTAGCACTTAACATGTTGTAGAGTGTATTTATACTGTAATTTATGCAACATATCCATCCCGCCCAGATTTAATATTTATATTGAATAAAGAAACAGAAAAGAGAGATGTTCAAGGAGTGACACTGGTGGATGCATTGGGAACTACTCTTGTGTAACTCTGCAGCTTCTGTCCGACCACAGTCTGACAGAAAGACCAATTACTGTGCAAGGCCTTGAGGCCATGGGTTTGCTTGCTGATGAGACAGCTGTTTTAAGTTGCTTTTCAGTTTTCAATCATGTTTTTTTGTTTGTTTGTTTTCCAGAGAAAGTAACTCCCAAGAAGAGAAGGAAAGTCTTCTGTGAGATCACCCACCACCTGCTGGAGAACCACGAGATGTGGAAGAAGGTGATTGCAGAGGAGACCCAGAAACAGGGCCAAGGAGCAGATTCTGTCCATTTAAATAATGTAGCTGAGCCAATCCTGGCTATTCACGAGGAGGAAGAGGAGCCAGGCAGCAGAGAGGAGCTAGTAGAAGGAGAGGATCCAGAGGAAGGGGTGGAGGAACCGGAGTGGCCCGTGTCTCCGCAGGAAGACTCTAAACCTCCAGAGGAACTAGCGGAGGGGGACCCACAGTGAAACAGCCCATGGGAAATATGGCGTCAGTCAGGGCAAGGACGTGAAGAAGTATTTCTTGTTTTCTTATCCTACCAACTGACTCCTGTCTTTGCCAGCACATCACTTAGACACAACACTGTAGATGTTTGGGAAATGTGTGCCTATACAGAAAAAAAAACAGGGTGGGAAATTTTGTGCTTTACACATTTTATCTGAATATCTGGTTTCACCAAACATTTAAAGGAGCTTTCCATATTGCAATACAGGAATATTTGTGTACTTTGGGATACAGACTCTTTTGCTACTGTCAAGAGAAGAGGAAGACTGACTTGCACAGACCTCAACCCAATGTGGTAACACAGGACTGCAGAAATTTGCTGCCAATTTATATATAATTATTTTCTGAATGCAATTATATATAGACACCACAGTTACTTGTACTTGTGTTTCAATTTTAGCGAGAGTTTTTGAGGTCTCACATGGACTATAATATGTTTTTTTCTATATATGGATTATAAAGGGAGTCAATCAAATGAGGAACATCGGCGTATCTTTTATTCCTTTCAACTTCTGCCAAAATGAATCACTCACCCATAGGCTTTAGCATACAAATTCAAATGATTATACATGTTTTTGTTTTGCATTTGTTGCCAAATGAAGTACTTTTTACCATTAGGTGTAGCCATGTTACTCTAAGGAAGGAGACTCGAGGCTCTTTACACTCTGTATTTGTGTGCGTGTGTGGGTTTGCATGTTTAAATTAGTGTGCTCAAATGCACAATTCTTCTGCAGAGGACATAGATAGACTTATCAGATGTATTCATGCCATCTTTGGCCTCCAGCCCTCAGTTGGATATAGTGGTCATTACAGGGTTCACTGCTGCAAATGTAGTGCAGAGGTCTGCACTGACAAAGCAGCAGAGAGAAGTTTGAGATGAATCTGTGCTGAATACAAGACCAAAAAGGAAATACAAGTACGCAGAGCATAAACCAATACTACCAAAGTGTTAATGGGAAAAATAAGGTGAAAAAACAGTTAACCCTACATTCATAAAACATAAAGAAAATGGATAATCCTACAAAGGTATATGAACGTGGCCATAGGTAGACTAACCATTACACTGTCCCTTTTCTTTTCTATCCATGTTTGACTCTCTGACTCTGTGTTTGGACTCAGTTTGCTGTATTTTACTCTATACTTGCTGGTCCTTATATAAAAACCTGCAAATGATGCTGACCTTTAACCCTCAGGAAAACCTCAGCTGTTGAAATTCAAAGCGAACATCTGTATCACCTGTGAGGACAGTACGTTACAAATATGCAGGGATAGTAAGCTAGTTTAGAATATGTTCATATAAGACTTGGAGCAATGCTAAAGCTTTATTTCACAACCTCCTGCTTTTCTGCTTTGGCTATTATAACATCTCTGCAGATAGACAGAGTGAATCTGTCTGAATTCCTCTCCTGGCACCTCAGGGAGACACTCATTCTCTCAGAATTAGGCGCAGACAGGACTCCAGAGTGCATCACTTGGACGGAGTTCTTCTGCAAGTCAATGTCCAATTTGATAAATCACATCTGTTGCTGTGATGACACACAGGGAAGTTATTCTGCAAGAAATGTTTTTTTTTTATTTCACATGAGGAAAAAATGTGGTTGAAATCCAGTCCAGGTTGATAAAAGAGTGTTGGTGCAAGTCTGTGAGAGCTGAAATATTTCTCTGAGGCTAACTGTTGCAGCTGTTTGATGCCAGTAGAAAAGATCACTCCTTCTTTAATGTAACGGACATGAAGTGCAGTGGCAGAGACGGCTGAGATCACCCTGGTGACAGCAGCGTGTGTCATTTTTATGCTGTTTAAACATCAAATTTATCATTAAGAATTTCCCATTGCCTGATGTTCTGACATTTATACCCAGTCCATGTGAATTTTGCCAAACATTGGTGCTAACATTTTGTGGGGAGATGCCATTTGCATCCAGGGGTTCGTAGCCACAGAGTCTTGCCACGTTGGCTAGGTACAACCCAGGTGTATCTTCCTGGTCGTCCTAAGCTTAAGTGCTGTATTGTAGGCCACTGGACTTGACGTATCACCTCTCATCCAAGAGGTTTCTTCAGTTCTAACAGACTGGTACGGAAGAACCGAAGAAGCATCTTGGATGAGAGGCAACACGTCCAAGAAACTCAAGCAAGTTCAGTTGCCTATGATATAGCACTTATGATTACCATGACCTGGGTGACTGAGAATCTTCACTGACTGGTCGTCCTAGCAACATTAACGCATAACATTAACACATACGGGTCTGTTCAGCTACTCTGTTAAAGTTTATGTACACAGTTTAAGCATTCAGCAGCTTTAAGCATCCCAAAAACTGAACATAATAAGTCAATGAAGTTAAAAGATAATCAGCCAGTGTTAACTCACATGTGACTTGAACCCCATTCATCACCACATCTTACTGCCTCTGTGGACTGTGTCACTTTTTACACTACATCACCTGACTTTCTGGCAGTACTTCTGTGTAACACAAAGTCCTGATCATGACGTCCTTTTCCTGTCCGCATCCAACCTCAACTGCTCAATGTGATGAGTACAATCACAGCACACAGAGGCATCCATAAACATGTCGTTGGGATGGGTGTAAAAAGCCAGATAGCTGCAGTGTGACTACTCTCACCCAGGGGCAAATAGACAAACCAAATTTGGTGTCCTGTCAATTTCTTATGATGGAAAGTAACTGCTATAGCGGCACAATGTGATTATATTCAGACATGACACTGTCTACCTATTATGCATTTCTTTACATCATTGGGGGTTTTTTAGTGCTTCACAATCCATGTGAACATTTTAAAAAAAAGTGGTAGTAAGTATGAAAATAGCAATGAGAAAGTGCTCCTCAAGAGTTTCAAACAGACATTGTTTCTGAAATATGATTTATAAATGGAATTTGGCATAATGACATTACTGCACATGACTTGTGGGTCTACATGATAGCCCCTATTTTCAACTGAGAAAATGCCACAAGGTAAACCAGTTACATAACCAGCTGCACAGTAGCCTGAGAGTAGGATGCAAAATGTATCTGTAGAAGGTCCCACTTTGCTTCAATTATTCACATTTACATAGAAATGGTGTTTGAGAGACCATTAGCCGAGCTTGAGATGAATAAGTAACGTGCTCTGCACTGAGTTGGCAGGTCAACTTTCTGTCACACATGAGTGCAGTGAGGCAATATGTAATGAATTATCCACTGCTAATCTTGTCGAGTTCTCATGACCTACATGCACATCTGAATCTCTTATGCGCTGATGTCTCATCTCATATTGTACCACTGTTCTCTTCCATAATCTCATTCCTTTAAGGGAATACTTCAACCCCCAAATGATCATTTATTTATCACTTACTCACCTTGTGTTACCTTGACTTTGTGAAGAAAACTTTGTTTTTCTTGCATGCCTCCACAGTGAACAAAGAACCCAAATATGGCGAACATTCTTGATTAATTGAAGTCATAGGCAACTGCGTATAACAACACCAAAACTATGTATCAAAACATCGGTTTACAAACTCTCACACAACTCGTGCAGTATAATCCAAGTCTTCTTTATCTAGTCATACTTGTGAAACACGCGTTTTCACTAAAACCTGGGCCCATGTGGGTAGTAAATGGGCTGAATGATGGGCCCTATATGGGACTGTCCACGCGTTCCATATTGGCCTCATGACAATTGCCCATATAGGTGGATTTACCCCACTGGGCCCGAGATAAGATGCCCATTTTGGACCCATACAGGTAGCCCCAGCATGACCTGTGTGGGGCTTTGTTTGTTAGAAAACAATAACGTAACTTGATCTAAAATGTCATGTGTGACATCAGTGCACAAAGCCCATACGTAAATTATGTAACATCATGTTCAAACAACACTGACTTTTGGTTTCACATGGGACACAAACTGCACTCTCCTGGGTGAGAGTCTAGTTTTGTTTGACCCATCCACCTCCCTTTCCTCCCTCTGTACGCAGACTTTCTTGCTCTTTATACCACATTTGTTGTACTCAACGTCAAGTTTCGCCACGAATGAGTTTACACTGGAGTTAGCTGAAAGCCTGGTGCGTATAATGAAGATGCTAAAGGGTGCCTTTGGCATCAATATTGCGTGCCGAGGGGTGTGATAACGTGTTGGTACTCCATAACCTAGGGATGAGGACTGGGTGATTATACTGCATGAGTTGTGTATGAGAGTTTGTAAACTGATGTTTTGAAGTTTTGCTGTTGTTAAATGTGGACCTTTATGACTTCAATTCGTCAAGAATGTTTGCCTTTTTTGGAAAACCGAATTTTCTTTCCAAATTCAATGTAACAAGGTTGAGTATATGACCCATAAATGATCATTTGGGGTCAAGTGTTTCGTTAAACTGATCTGTAAAAAGCTGCACAGCACACAAGTCAACCTGGATCTGATAGAGCTTCCTGTTATTGAAATTATTCTGGGTATAGAACATCATGTACTTGTATCCTTGCAGATCCTGCATTAACATACTCTATTACCATCCAATGTTCCTGGCTGTGCTGAATACCGCAGTACATCCGTAATGGCCTGTTAATTGCTGCCCTGACTCTGTCACACTGTGGAGAGGGGGTGGAGAAGGAGCTCAGGAACTGCAGTGTAGACCACACAAGTTGAAGATAATTGGTTGACCCACTGATTAGACAGGCATCAGACAGAGAGTCATTTAGATGAGACCAAACTTGTTAGCAGCCACTGAACCGGAACATTTTTGTTTTTTCTGGCTTCTAATGATCGTGTGTTGCCTCACGTATTATGAGCAACATCAACATGTCTGCTGTTTGCTGTACGTTGCCTGCGAGTCATCCCTAATTACCTATAATCACATTACAGACACAATGTGGATACATTTTATTCAGCATTTTGATAAAACCTGATTCAGGGTTGGGTCAGATCACTTTGAAATTTAGTTTGTTTCAAGAAGAAATTACATGGCAATTTTTGAATTTAGTGATGTAATCCATCGGAATACAAAAAAAGTCATTTGAATACTTTTGTGTTACTTCAAAATTAAATTCATTTGACCATATTGCACCTTATACTTAAAAAATTGATGCAGCCACAAAAATTTGAGTTCCACATAATATGACCTTTTCAGTGCAAATATAATGCATTTTCAGCATTTACAGTTCATTAAATTAGCCTTATAAAAATAGTGCTGGCACAAACTAAAGGTGTACTGTGTGTATTCTACAACACGAGGGATGCTGTTTCTTTTGTATACATTTTTTTGTTTGCTGTCATTGTTTAATCAAAGGCCACATGGTTATTATGAAAAATGGTTGAATAATTTTAAGGTTTTTATAGACATAATCCAAAATGTAATCAAGTAATTCTTTACAATAATCTAATTACACATTATAGTCAGGAACACTTTGGTCAAAGAAAACTTTATTTCCATTTGCAGTATTATATTTGGCGGTATGGCTCTGTTCTGGGGCCTCTCTGCCTTTCCTTGGCCTACGCAGAACGC